GAATGTTTGATAGATAACCAAATGTCAAATGAAATATATTAACAACATACTAAAATATTAATAAAAATAATTAACATATAATGATATAACAATAAAAAAAATTTTTTTTTTAATAAAAATATTAAAAATATTTACCTGATCTATATGACCTTTACAATTTAATATGAATACTTCTGCTAATTTACAACCACAAATCTTATCACTCTCAGCCATCGTATCAGTGTTAAATATCTAAACATGTTACATATTAGTATTAATGCATTATAATGATGATTTTCAAAATTCTCGTCTATTACTTACAGTTTCAATCATATCATAAAATATCATTTGTAAATCTTTATTTTGTATGAAAACATCTCTACCGTATAACACATAATTATCTAATGATGGAAGCATTTCTAAAAAAAAATTTTATAAATAAATAATTAATTTCTAACTATAAATTTTTAACTATAAATCACTTGATAATAGTAATTCACCTTCAATATAATCAATTCCATCAAGTTTGAATGTCTTATAAATCAAGTTAAATAAATTCCACATCGTATTTGAAATTGTTTTTGTAGAAAATGTGCAACTATCAATTATATCAAAAATATCACTATATAAATCTAAAGTACATAGATATTTGTTGTTAATAACAATACAGGATCACATAATTTATTATACAGCTTGAGAAATTTTTTTTTACCTATTATATTATTTTCCAAAGTGAATGAAATAATTGGCAACAAAACATTTTCTAATTGATGTAATAAATCAGTTGATGATTCCAAACTTAAAATTAAAGTTATGACCGTTTTTAAGACACCTGACGCTATAATTGTCTTGTCACTTATATCATAACTATCAACAAAATCATCAACATCACAATTATTATCTATTTCTGCAGCCTCTGATTCTTGATACTCTTGCATGATACGAAGAAAAGTATTGCACTGATAATTAATATATAATTATATATTATATAACTATAAATATATATAATTGTTATTCTTATTAAGATATTAATAAATTTAATTTAATTACCAATTGTTGGCATAATTGAACTGCAAATGGGGCCAATTCATTTGAATATTCCTCAACCAAATCCTCCATAACACTACCCAAAATATCTGAATCAATTTGATTTGTAATATCAAGTATTTCTTTTCAAAAAAAAAAAAAATAAAAACAAAATAATTAAAATAATGAAGACTCTTACAAGTTAAATTTATAGATAAAGATATATATATCCAACAAGACGATTAATTAATTACCTTGCATAATCACTGCAATATTTGGAATTATAGCATTTCTAACTATAAATGATTTAATGATTTAATTAATGTATTATGTATGTATGTATGTATGTATGTATACATGAAATATTATTATTTACCTGATTTGTGTTTAATAAGTATTTGTAATGCCAAACATGCTTGTACTTTAACAGGCAATTCTGGATCTTTTATACAATTAATAACACCTCCAAAAGCAGTTGACAAATTTGCTTCATTTTCAAAGTTTATTATACCAAATTTTACAACCATTTCACATGCCTTTAAAAACAACAATAATTTTAATTGTTAATGTTTAATAAATTTTAGATATAGCAATAATAATAATAATAAATAATAAATGTAAATACCCTGGCTCTTAGGAAATGATATTCTGATCGAAAGTCATTAAATACATGAGCAGCTAGAAATGACTCCATCATTTGTGAAACCCCTGAATTCTTTTTTAATATGACACTGGATAAACTTCCGACCATTTTTCTTCTGTAAAAATAGAAATTTCTTGCCGCTCATATTCTGTTGCTTGCTCTCTATGTCCAGTACATTATGTTTTGTTTTTATGGTTAAATATCTGCTATTTTTCTATTCCAAGAGTTTTAACATTGTTTGGTAAAGCTAGAAATTTGTTTGAAACCTGTATTTCTTAAAGCGTTAGTTTATCATTACTTGATGATACCAGCAGCAAAATTAAACGTTTAGAAATGGCAATTGCATGTATAAGATTATTATTAAAATATCATTTTGAACTAAATAATAATTATAGCAATGAGTGAAAATTTAGAACAGTTATTACTTATTTTTTCAATTACTAAATTTAATTGTTTAGGTTTAAAATCATTTTCAACTTCTTTAATTGTCATTGTTGTTTTGGAACAATTAAATCATGTGATGCTGAGCTAAAGAACTTTTCGCTTGCCATCAAAGTATCCTTGTTTGTAATTATAATTATTGTAATTGTTACAATTATTATCGTATTTTATAATTAATTGTATAATTGATTGATTGACAAATAAAGAAATCGAAGATTAATTAATTTTAAATTTTTAAAAAAGAATGAAATTCAAATTTATTTTTCTTTCTTTTTTATTGAATCATCTTTACCACCACCACCACCATTATTA